TTTCAAAATAACATAAATGTCAAGGACTTTGGGCCTGGTCTTCTTTTCTTTTCTACCTTTACGTATCACAGAAGAATCTTCTGGACATAAAATAAAAACATCTGTGATATTTTCACCATCATGCTTCACTGTACATTTTATTTCTGTACAAACACTTAACACTGACTGAAAGGAACATTCTAGAATCCTAAGGAAATATTTATAGTGGTTTCTTCCAGATCTATCCCATTTCCCACCTCCCTAACTCTCACCTCCTCACAAAGGTGTGCTGGTGAGGTGAATTTTGGTTTCATTTCTAAGAAGCAGGAACGTTGGTGGATAGGTCTGTAATCTTTACAAAGAAAAGGATCCCCTATCAGACCTGGTAAACTGAGAACTTCAATCCAGAGAGTGCAGGTTAAAGTTGATGAAGATAAGGTATCAATATGGGATAGGAGATCACCAAAAAAACTACCTCTTTTTCCAGGTGTTGGTAAATATGGTGGCCTTGCTTCATTTTTGATGGAAGATGGGAGACCAATTTCAACTGGACCGTCTCTGAAGATGTGTTCTGAATCTCTTAAGCAGCGAGCCTAGATTACAAACAGAGAGTCAGGCCACCCACTCACCCACAGTTGATGGGACGGCTCACTCGGCTGTCTACGAAGACCAAAGTCACGTGAGATTTCTTAATGCACAGAACAGCCAAAACTCCTCCCTTCAATGGTCTTTTAGGATTCCTTATTGTGTGAGAGCTTATTTAACACACCAGCAGAATGTACATAGCTTCTTTACTCTGGGATCTAAATGGAATCACCCATGCTCTCTACGTCACTCCATGACGCATAAGAAGAGCTCAATGGAAAAAGAGCATACAGAGTCAATGCTTTGCTTTGCAGAGTTTGTTCTATGACAAAGGAAATTCAGTGAAGCCAAGGAGTAGGTGACAAGGCAAAAATTGTCCTGGATTCAGTGCTCTGAGAGAATTCTACAGATGATTCTAGTAAATAAGTATTTTCTTTCAGGCTATTACATAATCCTAATATGTAGGTATAGAGCTGGTGATCAATGCTCAATAATTTTAATGAATTTGTTTCTGTCCCTGCTTTTTGCAAGAAAAAAAATTAAGATCTTATAAAGATCCACACAATATAAATGCATGAACTCTCTAAAGGGGGCGATATGGTCATAGAGATGGAAGTTAGGGGTAAAGAAATTTTCAGAAATACATTCCACAAATGACAGTAGAATGAATTGGACATAACTTTCTTATGTTCATATATGAATACATGACCAATGGAACTCCACAACATATACAACCATGAGGACGGGAAATTATACTACTCCACGTATGTAGATATGTCAAAATATATTCTTTGGTCATGAATTTCTAAAAAGAACAAATAATAATAATAATGAAGAAATACATTCCGCAAAGTCCTGCAGAGTGGCTATGGGTCAGAAAGCAGAGGACGGGAGCTGATGTGGGGGAGCATATCAACTCCACACCTTCCCCACCTGTTGGGTGCTCTCAATCATTGCCAGAGCTTCAGCCATTAGCTTCTGATTGATACCACAGAGGTTGGCGACCTTTGTCTGGCATCGGTGATGGACATTCATGCCACATGCTGAAAGGAAGAAAGTGGACAGTGAGCAGGAGGGAAAGAACTGACCCGGGGATGGGAAATGACTCCCTCTTGAGGAAGAACCAGGGCCTGTCACTAGGGAAGAAGGTGAGTGGTCAGGACCACAGCTCCAGGCACAAACTGATGTTGGTTCTCCCTGACATTCATGTGAAATGCTGAAGGAGAACTGTCTGCCCTGCACCAGGTCCAGTCTGAGCTGGTGCAACCCTTTTCCTAGCTGGACTCTGCCCTCTAGGCAGTCTCAGCCTGTACAATGGAAACTGAGAGAAGGTGTGTGTGTGTGTGTGTGTGTGTGTGTGTGTGTGTGTGTGTG